CGATGAAATGCTTGCACAATTTCATCCTTCACCACAAAACATTTTAAGCTATTTTTACAGTATACGGTCATTTCTCCTCTGTCAGTTCACACGAAATGTCCAGTAACGGAACTGTCAGTTCATTATAAGAAATCTTCGTGCTACTGCAGAATAATTTTACTGTTTTCTTTTCTTTTTAAAGTTTGTGAATTATTACCGAAGGAAGCGCAGTAGCATAGCTTAATGTCTTATTGAAACTATAAGTTATTGTTTAAGTGGAGTGATACAATATAGATCTTTGTTCTATTAGAATAGTTTTTATTAGAGCCTCAACTCTATCATAAGACCCTGGCCCACAAAATCACCTAATATTAAGCTATGCTACAAATTATACCTAGGATACGAGCTGCAACATAACATCATATGAATGTTACAGGAGTACGTGCTGGCGCATAATTTTACACTGTTATAAGAATAAAAAGTTTTCCAGACTTAGGGGAAACCATGGCTGTTTTGCCACAGGAGCACGTTGACGCAATGCTGGTAACTTTCATGTGCTGAAGTTGGTAGCCGTGATATCATGACCACTAACACATCGAAACAAGGATCACTTGCTTTCATCGTGATCGGAAGCCCCTGTCGTGTGTAGGAGTAAAATTTATATATTACGTAAGTGAATATTTTCTACTGCAAATATTTTGTTATGTTACATTAAATACTTTGTTAAGAGAATTAAGTTTCATAGTATATGAAAGTGAATTATTTCGGCTACATAATAGTACATAATTTTGTTTGATAATTATGACTTTGGACAACACACCCACAAGTCATTTCTAGCGAAATGGCGGTTTGGGGCAAGTTGACACACTTCACTTGGAGCAGATTGACACGCGTGTCAACCAGCCTGACAAATAAGAACTTGAATGTATTTTTTATGCTCTTAAAAATAGATATAATACAGAAATATTCAAATACATTTTGATTAATTTAATTAATATTTAGATGTTGAATAAATTAGTGAAATTAATTACAATTCTTGCAAATTCTTTATTGTACGGCTCCATTTATTTTCTTGTGATAATATTTTTTCAAAACTGTGTTTGCAGGCATTATAGTGAGAAACAAAGTGTTTTTTTACTTAATTTACTTAAACGTGCAATAAATATATTGATATAAATAAAGGTTTTGATTTTATTTCATCCGTATCAAATTACCCCGTACGTGAGATGAGTTGACACACAGTGCACACTCATTTGTGCTCTCCAGTGGCACAGCGGTATGTCTGCTAGAAACCGGGTTTCGATATCCGTGGTGGACAGAGCACAGATAGCTTATTGTATAGCTTTGTGCGTAACTACAAACAAACAAACAAAAGACCCATTTGTGAGAAAAATCAACAAAGAAGAAAGTGATTTGTTTCTGCTGTGTAATAAAGAAAAATGAGTAATATCGAAGTTTGATATCTAGAATTTCACAGATGACTATTATTCAAAAATTAAAAAATAAGTGAGTCAACCAGACCCGGTATCTCCTGTATGTTGCAACATTAAAAAGACGTTTTATTACGGATATAAGCTGTCGTAGGAAGACATGATGAATTAAACATCATTATTACAAACTTCCTCATATATTTGACTTTTATTAAGATTATCGATTATTATATACAAGACACAGTAAGATTATTTACGGTTGTGTTAAAACTGCAAATGTTGCTCAAGTCCGTGATTCTCACAATATTAAATTTTATCAGGAGTATTAAGTGTTTTAAATATACATGCTACATAACATTATATTTAGCGGGAGTACTACAGCATGAAGAAATGTCTTGCTATTACTACAAACTGTTGCAAAGTAAATATTGCTGTATATATATTAGTGTTATAAACTGCTGCCAGAGTCATGTTACAGCATTATATTATAGTAGTACTTTAAACTGTTGCAGAGATACATATAATGTAGCATATTGTTATGTTAGAATTTTACACTTGCAACAGTACGTGTTGCAGCATAACTTTACTTAGTGTTATAAACTGTCACAGGAGTACATATATGCAGCATAAGCTTACTTTATTTTCTAATATAAATTATTGCATGAATTCAAGTTACCACATTACTTAATATTAGGAAAATAAATTGTAGCGTTAATACGTGCTGCAGCTCAACTTTGTATTAGTATTCGAATCTGTTGCAGAAGTACATGTTACATCATATGTTTACCGTGTATTAACATTTTATTTTTTTAAAGAGCACATGTTGTAGCATAACTTTATACTAGAGCTACAAACTATTGCAACAGTACGTGCTGCATCAAAACTTTACATTGTGTTAATTCTTTATATACTGTGGCAGGACTTCTTGTCGCTCCAAAACTTTGCTTTGTATTAGAACATCAAGTTGTTACAGAAGTTATATGTTGAAGCAAGCCTTTACTTTCTATTGGTATCTTAAACTATTGTAAGTGTAAATGTTGCAGCATAATTTTATTTTGTACTAGTACAATAAACTGTTGCACGAATAGAGACGAACTGCATGTTTCCTTAGATCCGTACGCTGCATAAAACCATATAATAGAGGTAGAATATGAGTTGAGATCCATCTGCACACAGCATATAGACTAAAATACAGGTAGCTGTCTGTTACTTCTTGTCTGCACATTGTAATAAAACTATAAAACGTAGGTAGATTGTCATGTTAAAGCTTGTGCACTTGTACAGACACTATATAATAGAACTAGCCTGATTGTTCCAGTAGATCTGCACCCAAAGAGAGACTATATAATACAGCTAGCCTGATTTTTCCAGTAGGTCTGCACCTGTAGAGAGACTATATAACACAGCTAGCCTGATTGTTCCAGTAGGTCTGCACCCGAAGAGAGACTATATAATACAGCTAGCCTGATTTTTCCAGTAGGTCTGCACCTGTAGAGAGACTATATAACACAGCTAGCCTGATTGTTCCAGTAGGTCTGTACCTGTACAGAGACTATATAACACAGCTAGCCTGATTGTTCCAGTAGATCTGCACCTGTACAGAGACTATATAATACAGCTAGCCTGATTGTTCCAGTAGGTCTGTACCTGTACAGAGACTATATAATACAGCTAACCTGATTGTTCCAGCATGTCTGCGCCTATATAGAGACTATATAATACAGCTGGATTAATAATTACTGCTGGTCTTCACACTGCTTAGAGATTACAAAATTTAAACGTACTACGTGTTACAACTGGTCTGCAGGCACTAAAAAATATAGGTGAACTAAGTGTTGAAGTTGGTCTAAACATTTTATGGAGGACATAAAATATAGATGGACTAAATATTGGGTTTGTCTAAACAGTGTATAAAGACCATACAACATAAATGGACTAATTGTTGAGGTTGGTCTAAACGCTGTGTATATATACCATAAAATAGATGTGGACTAAGTGTTGAGGTTGGTCTTAATATTGTATAGCGATCATACAATGTAGGTGGAGCGGAATTAGTGTTGATGTGCGTTTAAACAGTATATAAAGACCATATAGTATAGGTGAACTAAGTGTTGAGGTTGTTCTAAATACTTTATAAATACCATACAATATAGATGGACTAAGTGTTGAAGTTAGTCTAAACAGTGTATAGATACCATAAAGTATAGGTGGAGTAAGTGTTTAGGTTGGTCTAAACACCGTATAGAGACTGTACAATATAAGTGGACCAATTGGTGAGTTTGGTCTAAATGCTGTGTACATACCATAAAATATAGGTGGACTAAGTGTTGAGGCTGGTCTAAACACTGTATAGGGACCATACAATATAGATAGACCAAGTGTTTTAGTTGGTCTGTACACTGCATGGTGACTATACAATACATGTGGATTACATTGTACTGCAGTTGTACACAAAATATCAAACTACAAACTATAGGTGAAATGTGTGATTCTTGTTGCAGGTGGTTGGTATATGGCCAGAGTCTGTAATGTATAGGTTGACGACATGTTTCCGCATTACTTATGCTACATGTATACTATCAAACCCATGTAGATTACCTGCTTGAACTTGTGTGTGTGTGTACAGCATTAATATCTTACAGAATACAGCAAGGTTTTACATTAATATATAGATATATGTTTCATTAAGCATAGGAGTTGAAACAGATTTCTAAACTATCGGCATATTCTTCTTTACATTAGTGTAATAATTTCTAGTTTATCTGCATGTCGATTTGTTGGTTTAGCTGTTTTCTGAGATTACAAAAATCACATTTATAGAACAGTTAAAAGTATTGGCTGTAATATTTACTGGAATGCGTTTGTAATGCGAAAGATTAGATGATTTTCTTTTATATGTTCGCACTGAAAAGTATTTTTAATAATAACCTCTTTCAAGTTTTCAATAATTGTACGATTTCAGAATGTCTACATTTTGTGTGGCAAATACATCTCCAGTTTAGCGCCTCTCCCTTCCTTGCGACCATATTCATGAATATTATGAAGTTTTGTGTTTTGATGTTACGCGCGTAGATTATTTTGTACTTATCATACAGTAGTAAAAAGATGTTTCAGTTGGATATTATTTCAGTTACTAAACGAAAGCAAAATAATTTCCTGCACATTATCTTATGGTGCTACTACTGTTGATATGTTATTAGAAAGATTAAAATGTTTTTCATAACGTCTATTTTTGTTTTATGTATATCTTTGGCAGTATTAATCCGAAATGTTTTGGAAAACTTTTTCAAAAAAAAACCCAACTCTTCTAATCTAAGTAGAACGCGGTCCTGTTATAGAGCTCTAGATTTCGGAGCTGACGATCTGGGTTCGAATCATAATGATACTATAAAATATTTTCCCGTGCTTTAGCTGTAGGTGCTAATAAGAGTCGCAGTAAATATTTTAGTCTGGATGGTGGGTGGTAGGTTTCTTCTGACAGACTGCCTTCCCTCTGATCAGTAATTCAAAATTAGGGTCGACGACAGATGGCCTTAGTAGTTTTGAAATAAATACAAAATGCAAATACCAGTCTAAAGTTAAATTTCTTACACTGGTTTTGGACACATAAAAGGGGGTTCCAGTCTTCCACCAGATGTCACTAACTGCATTACTTCCTGATTACTTCGTCCTGGGTAAGGCATATAACCCAGTGACATCACTTCCCACAACAGAACTCCGAACGACCTGAAATAATAGGAAAACCTTACAATATCAGCTTACAGAATGTATTTATGCGTTTAATCTAATTATACCAACAAACGTTAAGTCGTATTAAAGTTTGTTTAAATGTGTATTTTTGAATTTTGATTGTAAATACTAATAATGGTTCTCTTCATAGAGAGGAATCTGATGTGCTAGAAATCTCAAAAGGCTTTATATATATTTTTTGATTACCATAACGACAAATGAGATATTTTGGATATCTGTCTGTGCTTTGATATAAAAACGACTAATAATTTCATAAGTAATTACTAATATCAACGTTTCGGTTTATGGTTTAATCGAGGTGTATAGTTCAAAGTTTGATATCAAAACAGAATCTGTCACAGACATTAATAACTGTTATACCAAAGAAGTGCATTGTATGAAGATAAACAGTTAGGTATGAAAAATGTTTAGCAGGAATTAGAAAAAAAATGCAAATAATATCTTAAAAGATTAACTTGTTATAGACACGTCAAACATCTCATTAATAAATAGCCCCCAGTGGCACAGCGGTATGTCTGCGGACTTACAACGATAGAAACCGGGTTTCGATACCCGTGGTGGGCAGAGCACAGATAGCCCTTTGTGTAGCTTTGTGCATAAATTCAAAACAAACAAACAAACATAAATAAATATAACATGCAAATTAAACAAAATTAATGAACGTACATTTATATGATAAGATGTAAGCTGATAAAACAAACAACCTTTGCTGAATTGATTGCTGCGTCAATATTGATGTATAATAAATATAATAAGAATATAAATATTATTGGTAGACTAATGAAACTTAGTAGATTAGATAATGCTGATGTACTTCTTAAGTAATACATATAGTAAGAATATATGTATTCTTGGGTGACTAATGTAAATTACTAGATTAGTAAATGCTGATATATTTCTTAAGTATGTTTGTTTGTAATTAAGCACAAAGCTACACAATGGGTTATCTGTGCTCTGCCCACAACGGGTATCGAAACCCAGATTCTATCGTTGTAAGTCCGTAGACATACCGCTGTGCAACTGGGGGGGGCACTTCTTGAGTAATAAATAAAATAAGAATATAAATATTCTTGGTTGACTTATACAAAATTACTAGATTAAGTGTATGCATATACTAATTGATAACTCATGAAAAATAATATAATTTTAAAATGCATGAATAAAAACTTTCAAATTGTGTGTAAAGCTGTAAATATCCCTGATAAAGCTGAAAGTTCCGTAAATTCTAGGCTCGAAGTCCCTGCCCTGGTTAATAACCTTATTAGCCACACATTTTTCCTTTGTAATATGTTGATCACTATCTACCCAAGTACTTCTTATTAGGATTTAACCAAATGACTTGGCAGTACGGCACAGAAGCCATGTTGTGGTCGCGAATTGTGTTTGGTTTACTGTTAAGCATAAAGCTACATAATGGGCTATCTATGCTGGGTTCACCACGAGTTTCGAAATCCGGTTTTTAGCGTCATAAGCCTTCAAAATTAACGCTAAGCCACTGTGGGCACCACCATAGGAGAATGAGTTTTGTTAGCTGGATCTTAACAGTGTCTGAATGTTAATATTATTAATGATAAGTTATTCATGTTAATATTATTAATGATAAGTTATTCATGTTAATATTATTAATGATAAGTTATTCATGTTAATATTATTAATGATAAGTTATTCATGTTAATATTATTTGTAATAGGTTATCACTAGAATTATTAAATCTTATTCGTGAATAGATCATGTAAGTTATTATCTAAAAATGCAATGATGGAGTTTTATTAATGAATAGATCTAGTAATTAAAACACACTTTTTATAAAGAGATGTAGTAACTAAAACATACTTTTTATAAAGAGATGTAGTAACTACAACATACTTTTTATAAGAGATGTAGTAACTAAAACATACTTTTTATAAGAGATGTAGTAACTAAAACATACTTTTTATAAAGAGATGTAGTAACTAAAACATACTTTTTATAAAGAGATGTAGTAACTAAAACATACTTTTTATAAAGAGATGTAGTAACTAAAACACACAATTATTAAATATTATGGAAGAAGAGTTGTCAATTTAACGACCAGCTCGTTTTATCTGATTTCAAAGAGTTATTCGGTCAAAAGGGTTGTGGAGTTGAAATATTTGCATCTATACTGGGGCTATCTGGGACCAATAATATAACTATCTCTAAAAGTTATTTTTTGAAGTCATCAGATAACTTGGAAGATCAAAAAGATTAGACAGTATGGTTGCAGAGAATGATATTTATGAGGTTAAAGGTCAAATGATTCAATCTAACCAAATTATACTTAGTTTTGTGAAAGGTATCACTTACCAAATATCCGTTTTTGACGTAAATATACCATCTAGAAAGGCTTCTGGCGGCATCCATTTAACTGGTAGGACTGTCTTACCCCCTTTTCGATAGTAATCAGCCCTGAAAATTGTTTTTGTTTTTTAATATTTCTAATTTTTTATGACCGTATCATTGAGACTACTGAAACAACGTTGTTACACATTACCGGTGGCAAATGTGCTTTTATAAATTTAGGCAGAAAAAATCAACAATTATTCGAGTAACTAAATACTTATTAACATTGGCTTTAAAATTGGGATAGCATTAAATTTATTCTAGATATTTTATGAAATAAAAGAAAAAAACACTAACATTTACTATTGAATCTAAGTTTCAAATGGACAGCAACTGCCTGTTGTAGAAACCTAGCTAATGTAGAGGATGACGAAAGGCGGAAGACTTTCGAAACGTCGTCCTCTACATTTG